TATGTATGTGTGTGTGTATGTGTTTGTGTGCAAAATTTCTCAGAATTAACCTGTAGAAAAAAGACAATATGTATAAAGAACAAAGACAAGAGGAAAATTTTAGTTTAAGTCGACGCGTTTCGTTAAAATGTGGACTTTTTCAAGTCAAAAAACTAAATTAATTTATTCAAGGTATCTATAAGAAACAAACAGAATGTCGTTAGGAATTCGAAGAATTTACAAAGGCTATTGTATATTCATAAGGTCAACTGAAAAAATGACGTCAATTACTTAATGTTTGAAGAGAATATTTTCAGGTGCAGAAATATTGTTTGTATTGTTGTGTTTACGGATTCAACGGTTTTCTTTTGATTTCTTCGTATATTTGCTGTGAATATTAACTTGGGAGAGTAGCGATTCTGTTAGGAAAGGTGATATTAGTCATTCTGTTAGGAAAGGTGATTTTGGGGAAAAGCTTGAATGCAGATTAATATTTGGATAATATTCAATGGCGGGACTGTTGAGGATTTACCTTCTGAGTGAATAATTTTCTTTTTTTTATGAGTGTAGCATTTATAAAATCAGAATTGTGGTTGAATTTAATTCTATTTATAATTCACTCGAAATATTGCCTTCAAAAAGTCCACATTGGATGAGACGCGTCGGCTGAAACTACAGTGTTACGATTGTCTTTTCCTTTACACACACACACACACATATATATATATATATATATATATATATATATATGATATAACATAGTTTCAAGGTATGCTATATATATGGCTAAAAGTGCTCAATATCAAGGATAGAGCGTATATATATATATATATATATATATATATATATATAATAGGAGGCATGATAAAGTAGTGGATAGCAGCTCAGACTGAGGAATTGGAGAGTCGAGTTCTAATTCCAGTCGAATCCATTGCATTCACTTACGTGCTAATACCCTTTGAAAACGTATTAAATCTCTTCTTCTGGCAACTGGTATAGAAAGAGGACAATGAATTCAAAACCTGGGTCGTTTAGGGTCTCTGTATTCAGCCCTTCAAAAAGTGTGGTTGGTTCTGAAAAAAGCCTTCACCACTATAATCAAATCACATGTGCTGGTGTCTGGCTGTCAGTTCCTAGGAACTGAGCTGCTTGACCCTCATACGTTGAATACGATGGGAGAGTCCACCAGATAGATAGATAGATAGATAGATAGATAGATAGATAGATATGTATGTATTTGTGTATGTTATGTCTCCGTGTAGGTGTGTTTATTAGTATTTGAAAAATTAGATTTTAGTAATATATATATATATATATATATATATATATATATATATATATATATATATATATGAAAAAATATATACGGAAAAAAACAAACAAAATCTTATATACAATTATACAGCATAATTGTACATTAGGATTTTTGTTTTTTTTTCCGTATATATTTTTCTTCATACTGTCGGATCTATATCCATATACATATATATATATATATATATATATATATATATATATATATATATATATATATATATATATGTGTGTGTGTGTGTGTGTGTGTGTGTGTGTGTGTGTGTGTGTGTGTGCGCGTACAAATACATATTCTTATACCGATTTGTCTGGTAATATATACACAGACACGCGCACACACACACACACACACACACACACACATATATATATATATATATATATATATATATATATATATATATATATATAAATATTCATCTATCTATATATATATATATATATATATATATATATATATATATATATATGTAGTTATGGTTTCCATTCTTACTGAGTGTCCCATATGAGTGACTCGGTGTTAAACAAGCTAAACTTAGTAAATATAGATGCTGGGAATTCACTTGAAACAGCAGACCGTACACACTCGCATGATATTTTCCAATATATTTGTACATTGACGAGAAATCCTAACTGACGAACACACGCGCACAAAACAGGTTCGGATGCTAAAGCAGAAAACAGACAACAAGCGCATTTAGACACAAATTGGAAGAAGTTCAGCTCCAGCCACAATATTCAAAACCATATACACGCTTTCTTTAATCTAAGTATGAAGGGCCCAACAGAAAAATTACAAATAGGTGATGCGAAAATAAAACAAGTACAAAAAAAAACAGTGAAAGAAAGCGAGAAGAAAGATCTAAACACTAATAGCGAAAAGACAGAACTCATAGTTGTTAGCAAAAGTAACATCCTAAAATGCATATTACAAATTGGTGATATTAAAATCACACAAGTACAACAACGTAAATATCTATATGTTTTAACAGAGAACGGAAAGCGTGTCAGGGAAATAGCTATGTATATTACGAAAAATGGTTAGAGAAAAATGCCTTCTAAAATCAAAGCAAATAATTAGGAGAAAGAAAAGTATACTTTAGAAACGAAAAATACTGAAGTATTACGTAATATCAGCCCTCCTCCTATATGACAGTGATTGCGGGACAAGCTCCTCACAGGTGAAGAACAGAACTGTTGTTCTACAGAAGGATGCTGAGAATACCATGAACCGAATATATAAGCAACGACGAAATTTTGCAAAAAAAAAAAAGGAAACAAAAAGCACATAGGGGTGAACTTAAACCAAAAAGATGAATGTAAATTGTATTATGTTCTGACTTAGCTTTCCGCTTTGAAACATCAGCATCACAAATGCAGTACTAAATTGGCTCGGATTGAGGAATCGTAGAGCTGAGTTCAAAATCCATTCAGAACAATTACTTTCACATGTGTCAATACCCTTGGGAAAGTTATGAATCCTCTTCTCCCCGCCCCCCCAGCTATGGGTAAATAGCAGGACAGACCAGTTGCCTTTGATGGTAACTGGTCTACCGCAAAAAGAAATAGCAACCTACTGCGGGCAAAAATCTGCATCGTCAGTCATGTATCGAAAGATATATGATCGCCTAAGCGTGTATCACGCATGGAACATAACTGCCTGACTAAATTAGTAGTAAGGTTTCATCAGTTTACTGTTGAAACGCCGAGATGTAACCGTAAATAATATGCTAACAGTGTCTTCTGCGGCACTTCGCGCTTATGGTACTTTTCAAGTAGCCACGCCTCACTTGAAAATTTCCAATAAAGAATTGCTCAGTTCTTTGAGGAGATTTACGTGGATTTAGCTAAAGACTCATAAGTCACAAAAGCTATTTTTTGTGGGGTGGGGAAAATATTGGAATGAATAATCTTGGTGGACGGACAGTTGCGTACTGGAAATTTGCATCCCGGACAAATGCAAATCTGGACATTTACGTCCCGGACATTTGTGTACCTTGACATTTACGTCCCGGACAATTGCGTACCTGAACATTTACGTGCCGGAGACATGTGTACCTGTACATTTACGTCCCGGAGACTTGCGTACCTGGACATTTACGCCCCGGACACTTGTGTACCTGGACATTTACGTCCCGGACACTTGTGTACCTGGACATTTACGTCCCGGAAACTTGTGTACCTGGATATTTACGTCCCGGACACTTGTGTACCTTGACATTTACGTCCCGGACAATTGCGTAGCTGGACATCTACGTCCCGGAGACTTGTGTACCTGGACATTTACGTCCCGGACAAATGTGTACCTGGATATTTACGTCCTGGACAATTGCGTACCTGGACATTTACGTCCCGGAGACTTGTGTATCTGGACATTTACATCCCGGACAATTGTGTACCTTGACATTTACGTCCCGGACAATTACGTACCTGGACATTTACGTCCCGGAGACTTGTGAACCTGGACATTTACGTCCCGGACAATTGTGTACCTTGACATTTACGTCCCGGACTATTGCGTACCTGGACATTTACATCCCGGAGACTTGTGTACCTGGACATTTACGTCCCGGAGACTTGTGTACCTGGACATTTACGTCCCGGAGACTTGTGTGCCTTGACATTTACGTCCCGGACAATTGCGTACCTGGACATTTACGTCGTCCCGGAGACTTGTGTACCTGGACATTTACGTCCCGGAGACTTGTGTACCTTGACATTTACGTCCCGGACAATTGTGTACCTTGACATTTACCCCGCAGACAATTGCGTACCTGGACATTTACGTCCCGGACATTTGCCTACCTCGAAAAATGTGAAATATGATTTTTTATTATAAATTTTATTATGACAAAAAGAAAAAAAAAAGCATTTTATAATTAACTTTTGCTCTTGTCAAATTATTCTCCTTTAACCTTGATTACTGCAGCGTAAATTTTTGGCATTTGCTGCAAAAGTTTCTCAAAGAATCCGATACGTTTTATTTGACTTTAGAAAACGTTGCGTACCTGGACATTTACGTCCCGGACAATTGCGTACCTGGACATTTACGTCCCGGACAGTTGCGTACCTGGATATTTATGTCCAGGACAGTTGCGTACCTGGACATTTACGTCCCGGACAGTTGCGTACCTGGATATTTACTTCCCGGACAGTTGCGTAACTGGACATTTACGTCCCGGACAATTGCGTACCTGGACATTTACATCATAATTGATTCCATTCTTTTTTCAATGACACTAAAAGATCTTTTTCATTTTTTTTTTTTTCCACTCTTCTGAGAAGTTCACCCCGCGCTAATTCTGGGGTGTGTCTTCTAACTTTTGAACTGTAGTGTATATTGGAAAAAGTAGTACATGAAGCTAACATTCCATTGCCATCATTTATCAAACCGGAATTATAAAGAACCTAATAATGGCATTTATTGGTTTGTTGTTTTTTACGGTTTATCTACCTTTTTGCAGGATATTTAAATCCAGAATTTTTTTTTTATATTTTAAGAATTTTTTTTTTTTTGAGATAATAATAATTGACTTATACGAGTTTTACAAATTAACTGATAGCTAGTGTGGGAGGGGAGAAGAGGTGGATTCATGCCTTACCAAAAGGTAATTACGCGTATGTGAATACGACGAACCCAACTGAAAAAGCAACACGATTCTTCGATTTCTAATTCGTTATCCATTGCACCAGCTGCACATTCAAGTTTACAGCAACTTGTATTCTGAAACGGCCACCCATCTAGGTACTGACCAAAATCAACGTTGCTTAACTTCGGTGATCCGACGAAAACTGGTGTTTCAACGAGATATGGCTGTAATTCTCTTTGGATTATAATCAAGAAAATGTTTAAATTTAATAAGGTGTCCTTATTGTGATCTGAATCCGATATGGGGTATGTAATGTTTAGCGGCTAGAAATAAGAACTCGGAGAGACGTGTTCGAGTTGCGGTCAGATTCGTTATATTTCCTTACACGTAAAGACACTCGGTGAAAAGATAAATCCATCCGCTCTCCCCCATATATAGATTAAGTGGTAAGATTTAAAATTAAAACAATCATTGTTATCTCAAAAACGAAATTTGTTAATGTAAAAATTCACCAGCAAAAAAATGAAAGTATTCTTCCAATCCACAATATATTTTAGTCTTTAAATAACAGTCAAAGGGTTGATAACCCATAAAAAACAAGTAAATAGAAGCCGATGCATAACTGATCTCCTGTCCTCCAAATGGTAAGTTCTAAAACTCCAAAAATCATTATCTCAAAAAAGAAAATTATTAATATAAAAATTCACTTACAAAAAGAATGGAATCTTTTTTCCAATCCCCAATATATATCGGCCTTAAAAGGGTTGATAAGCCAAAAAAAAAAAAAAAGAAACAAGTAAATAAAAGTCGATCACTATTTATCTATGTCTCCCGTACGTATAGGTTAAATAATAGGATTTATAACTGCAAAAATCATTATCTTAAAAAGGACATTGCTAATGTAATATTCACTAGCAAAAAATATAATTATACTTACAGTCCAAAATATATTTCGGCTTTAAATAACGTACACAGGATTGATAAGCCATAAAAAATATCAATAAAAACTAAAGCACAGTTTGTATTATGCATATAAATATTATTATATCCTGAAAAATAGCATAGTTTTTTTTTTACAACCAATTTTATCGTAACTTATATAATAAAATGGTATTGTGTACTAAATATTATTTTTTTCATTTTAGTCTATGTCATAGTGACTGTCTAATAGTACTAAATTAAAAAAAATATTGTGTAATAAAATGCTACTGAATATCATAACATTGTATTCGTCAGTGGATACGCTTAACTTGTAAACAGTGATTCCTTGTACTAAATGCTCGTTCTTTCTCTGTTTCTCTTTTGCAGGTAATCATCTAATGAAACGATGCTACCTCTGCTTTCACAAACATAAGAAATATCTCTGATTTCAAACTATTAATACTACTGATAGAATTATTATTAGCAGCATCATCACAACTACTTCAAGAGGTACGTAAAACACGGTCCGATCACGAAACAGAGAATTGCCACGATTACAACAACGACAACATCAAAAGGAGTACTACTGTTAAGAACGACACACGCAATATACCAGCAACTACTACTGCTTCTACAAATCGTCGAACTGAAGCTGACTGGGCTTCGGAAATTCATCCTGTTACTTTCGTGTCATATATCACACGATCGACATGACAGGACGGAGAGCACACCCGCAATCGTTTAAATACACAGGTAGGAGAATCACTGAGTTGGAATGCAGTTGCTATCTATGGGTGGATGGAATTGGGTGGTTGTTATGGGAGTAGGGAATACCAGACGAAAGGATGCTTTTTTTTTTGTTTATCTATTTATGTGTTTGTCTGTTTATCATTTGAAAGGAATAAAAAAAAGAAACGTTTTTTTTTTTTTTACAGCCGCATTAAAGAGAGTGAAATCGAAAGAAGAGGACTAATTTCGGGATAGGTTTGAAAGCGATGTTTTTTGATTTGACGAAATCCAGATAAGGGTCTGCAATACAACTGATCCTGACCAGGCACGACGTCCTTAACTGGGAAGGTTGGGGAAGCTGACTTGTCAATTTTAACGCTTTCAAAACTAAACGTCTCTACATTATTCATCTGAGAGACCCCTTAGTGCCTTCCATCAGCATGGCTGATGCTATTCTCCAGGAAAGTGACTCGTTGCTCCTTCTCAGGCTAACGTTCTCGGCTGGTATGGGGTGGAAAAACTATATTAAATCCATTGCTAAAAAAGATGGTTCACTGTGTCGGGCGCAGGCAATTTTTCTCTCGAGAAACTATGTTGCATATATATATATATATATATATATGTCTGCAGTTCGTCCATGCTTAGAACATTGCTGATATATATGACCCGGTGACATTGGTATCCACTTGGAGCTCCTTCATAAGATCCAATGAAGAATCAGCATATTCTGGAAAGAACGGCGAAATGTTCTAAGAATCTGGACGCAAATTTACACTGGATGATCTCACGGAAAAACATTTTTTCCATTTTGTCAGTGATTTTCTTAGCATTTTTCTATATATATATATATATATATATATATATATATATATATATATATATATATATATATATATATATCCTTTAACCATATGTATTATTTGTTAACTGTTGATGTTCTTTGCTCTGTCTGGGTAGTTTTTGTGTTGATCATTTTATATTACTGTATAGGTAGGTGTTTGCCTTTTCGTCTTTCATCTAAGGTGTTAGTGTGTCTGGCAAGGTGCCTGTTTGTCATACCAACATTTTTGTGTTTTTCTTTAGTGTATGCATATATCGAATATATCAATTAATTTATAATATTAATGCTCTGTAAATTTACATTGAGCACTATTTTGTAAAAAAAAAATATCTATAAGAACACCGGATTTTATATCTTACTGTTCTTTCTTTTTATTTATATATATATATATATATATATGTGTGTGTGTGTGTGTGTGTGTATTTCTTTGTGTTTGTGTATGTGTGTTTGTGTATGCTTCTTTGTGTTTGTGTTTGTGTGTGTGTGTGTGAAAGAAGATAAAAGAAAGCAAAATGTAAGCAAAAAAGAGAAAAAAAGGAAGAAAAATGAAAAGGAAAATAGAAGAAAGAATGAATATAATAAAAAAGAAAGAGAAACGAGACAATAGCGCGTTATAAGGCAACCAAACGAGTTTTTGAATTCAGAATTGCACTTCCCCTAATCCAGTTGCCACCCAAGGCCATAGGATCGTTACGTTACTGGGGCCAATATAGGTGTAGCTGCGCTAGACTGAGTCTAGGTAGTTTCCTCTTCGTCTACATATATATATATATACTTTCTGCATTCTGTTGGGGATTCTTGTTCTAGACTCAATGAATTATAAAGAAGGAGAATATATATATATATATATATATATATATATATATATATATATATATATATATATATATATATACTAATAGTAATACTCGTTTGGAAAAAAGCATTGGATAGCTCAACTTCTAGACATGTCAAAACAAATCGGTAACCAAGTAAAAATTGAAAATAAAAAAATAAAGAACTAAAAACATTTGAACAGGGCAAAAGAAATCGTCCAGTGCCTTAAATCTTTAGTCCAAAGAAAAAAAATTTTATTAGTTTTTAATGATTTTATCAATAAATACTGTTTTGTTAGTTCCTTTTTAGCCAGCTTACCCTGAAGATCCGTTTAGGTTAAACCAAGATAGGTTTTTCTGGCACTTTAGGATTTATTATATATATATATATATATATATATATATATATATGTGTGTGTGTGTGTGTGTGTGTGTGTGTGTGTGTTGTGGATGGTTTCCGGGATGAAATCCGGTACCAATAAATAACAAACACCAGGAATGAATATATGAAAATAATGTATTAACATAATAATACAAACTGGTAAAGCAGGTTAGTAGTTCCAGGAATACGGGATTAGTAGCAAAATATATATACAGTCTTTGGTATTGAAGTATCGCTGTATGACTTCTTACTGAGTCTACGTGCTCGCTCACTGTGACTCCTACAACGCTGTTACCTCACCCCTCACTCTTCCGGTTACCAACAACCTTTTACTCTGTCACTTTGTCACTCGACTCTCTTCGGTCTTGCTCCCTCGGATCTTCATGTAGGCGTAGTATATGTATATACTGGGTGAGTCCATTTCTGTAAAAAGGGGTGGACCCCTCAACAATATATATATATATATATATATATATATATATATAATGTGTATTTGGGCAGCAACCTTTCATTCAAGCATCTTTTTATTTAATTAATATAAAGGATATAAAAGTTGTTCCTAGTCGTAATTGTTCCGAGCGCTTTAGGCTAGTTCTATAGCCATTAGCAAGTATGTTGTTTTATATGGTGAGTTTCCGTGTGTTAACGTCTAGATAATAATTTAGATGTGTTGAGAACGTGCGGACGCGGGGTATGATTTTAGGGGCGGTCACGTGCATGCGCAACAAGTTGACCGTAGAGAACTCATTATTAAGGGAAAGAGTTCAGTAAATATACAAAAATAGACAGGGGCGGAAGGCAAAAATGCGTCTTCTCACCCGACCTTTTCCGAGGCAATCCCGAGAGAATTGGAGACCCTACCGGGATTTCGCATTGGCGGCCACAATCTTAACAACGTTAGATACGCAGTTGACGCACAGTACTGATAGCAGACACGGAAATGAAATTACAAAATCTCCTAAAGAAGGTCGCGATTAGGAGAGATGAGGTGGAACTAAGCAGAAATTATGAAAAGAAACAGAATGCATGCTCATCGGTAAAAGGATGAGCCCGAAATGCGATCTGAAGGTCGGGAACACTAGAATCAAGCAGACGCGGGAGTTTAAATACCTGGGAAGCGTTTTGACAGAGGACGATAAGTGCGACACTGAGATCCATAGACATATTGGGATGACCAAGGACGCATTCCAAAAGCTGGGCAGAATATTGCGGGACAGAAGGATTTCTTTGGTAACAAAGAAAAGAATACTGAGCTGCTACGTGACATCTGTCCTTCTTTACGGCAGCGAATGTTGGACGATTTCCTCAAAGATGAAGAAGAGTCTCGAAGCAACGGAAATGTGGTTCTACAGAAGGATGTTAAGGATATCATGAACCGAGAATGTGAGCAACGATGAAGTCTTAGAGAGGTTGCAAACAAGGAGCAGGCTTATACTTAATATCTAGAAGAGGCAGATGAAGTTTCTGGACAGATAATGAGGAAGGAGAACCTGGAGAATCTGATACTCACGGGTCGAATAGAAGGAAAGAGAGACAAGGG